CAACTGCACGACCCCACCCAAAATTCCCTCCAAACCGTACTTCCAACTTTCACCTTCCCATTTAAGGAAGCCAAAAGGAAAAAGGACAAGAACTAAAACCACTAACAATACGTCTCTTACCCTCACCACAGATGAAGGACACGCTGCCCAAGCTTTCAATCCTCGTACCGGAAATCATCAGATCTCATACCCCCCAAGCTAGGGTTACAAGGCAACACAAACTGCCCCAGTACCGACCTAACTGTTTCCGACGGACAGAGAGTGCCTTCCCCCTCGACAACTTCCTTAATTGTATGGCCCCTTAAAAGGTTATAGGGTCACCACCCCGACAACAACTACGTCGGGCGAGATGGTTATGCCTTCCACCCTTGGCATAACTTCAATGGGCTCAAGCTCCCCTTGGTCACAGAGCGAATGCTCCAACACCGACAAATGTCGTCCCACCCCACCCTTCTAATAATAGACTTACCACCCTGAACCGCCGATCCCTCCTCTGAGTGAACCCCCCCCACTTCCCACCTGCCTCTAATTCGACCTTCCCCCTTTCGTTTGCAAGACCGCATCATAGCAAATTTGAAATACGACTTCCGAAAAACGTTGAAGAAATGAACGGCTACATGCAAATTAAGTCCAACCTTTGGAAGTTTCCTAGATGTAGATTGTGTACAAGATTGAAAACCGATTGAAAATCAATTGAAAATCATCCGCAACTTTGTGCGTTCTTTTAGAAATAGCCTTGAATTTGGAGACAAAATACGAATTTAAAAAACATGTAAAATATCATTGGAATATACCATGAACTGCCTCAAATAGGACTTTCGACCAACGCTATGAAAATTACAAGTTGAATTATCCGACAAAAACTATCGTTGAGTACTTCTGAAACTTACGACAGATAACTAGAAATCAACCTCTAAAGAAAACCTTGAGAGTGTAATTCGAGAATTCCTACCTATTTGTAATCAAATTTTCATGTAGAATTATCCTGCAAAATTTTCCATTAGAAATTGTAATTCAAAACGAGCAGCTCAGAGCCAATCAGCAAGGACCATCAATTAAGAATCAAAGATGAATTTAGCATGAATTATAGATTGTGAATTCAAACTGAAAGCGATTCTATCGCACGTGGGCCAGATCATAGTAGTACGTGATGAACAGCCATGCGAGCTACGAGAAACGATACCTGCCCTTCCCTCCTCCTCAACACCAACTTACCTCATCCCCCTCAAACCTTAGCCCAGGGTCGTCGGGGAAAGAGAGACACCCCTCCTCCCACTGCTAGCGACGAAAATCAGTACACTGCTAACACCGAAAACTTCAACGGCCATCTCAAATCCTCCAAGGAGACTCAGAAATGGTGTGGCGCCTCCTCACCGAGCCCGTCAGCGAGTCACCGCAGAAGATTCGAACCACCATGGTAAACACTTACCAACTGTTGAGGAAGGGGGAAACATACAAGCGAAAGACCTCAAACATCCCGAGCTCTCGACCACCCCCGTCACGTCGTATAGCTCCCATGTAGCAACGCTTCCAGCGCATGGCTTGACTCCTGCGTCCTCTTTTCCCCATCGTCATGCTGCCCATCCGCCATGTAGGAACACCTTTCGCTAACAGACCGTTCATGGCGCGCCCGGCGGCCATCTTCCTTACCCCTCCTCCCGCTAGTCGACGCGCCCTACTTTGCCCTAATGTGAAAACACTGCTGACGAACCGGTTCCGGCCGGGCGCAGCGCTCCCGGTTGGTCGATATCTGCAGAGTTGCTTTGTTCTGTGCCCCTGGTTTGCTGATGCCAAAACGACGCTGGCAGGAGCTGGGGCGTTGCCCTGTAACCCGCAAATGGCAGGAGTGTGAGGACTTGTAGGGAGATCTGGATTTTGCTGAGGGAGGAAGGCAATCCGGTGATGAACCGGGGGGGGGCTGCCTTGACAACCTATGGGGCTGGGGATAGTCTAGGTGGCGAGAAGAGGTCAGCTATGGTTGACGTTGGTTAGGTTGGCATCGTCTCTGAGATGCAATGCCCTGGTACAGGGAGGGCTAGGAGTTGTTCTAGGATTAGGAGGCCAGAATTGCTGATATAGCATAGTCTTCTATATGTTTTATATACTAATCATCATCATTAGTACGATTATCTCACATTTTACATAGAATCAGCAGAAGTTCATCATCATCATCATCATCATCATCATCTGAGGGACGCTGAGCCCGGTTCTCAGCAAGTTCGATTCGGTCACTCCGGGTAGACTGTGAGGACCCGGCCTCAATCTTCTTATTGATAATATCAGCCTTGGGCACTGGGCCTGTTTTGTTTTGAAAAAAAAAAAAAAAGGAAGCGAAGGTGCGGAAGAGGGTGAACGGAATTAAGGTGGACTTGGATTTAGGGGAAAGAAGGAAGGAACCCCCTGAGGAGACCGCGTGGCGGCGGTCAAAACCGGTCCGTTACGCTGTTTTGACTTCTACTATGAAAGTTGTGTGTGTACTAACTACTACTAAGTGTACTCACAGAGTCTATAGTCATGTATACTCTGCATATGTCGAGAGGCGGTTAGCGGAGGCGTCGATTTTCAGACAACTTCTCATGCCATTTAACAAAAACAAGGATAGTGGACTTGTAACAGGGCTTTCAAAAAAAAAAAAAAAAAAGAAAAGAAGAAAGGGTCATTTTAACCAAACTTGCCACCAATTCATAGGTTGGAGATCATACCACCAGTACTTGTGAAGGAGCGGCGTGTTATCGGCCAGCCATCGCTACAGTGCCGTGACGGGTCGTTTCAAATGAATATAATAGCCTAGCGTGGCAGGCCTGCTCATCCCAGTTCTTCTCGGCACATTAAAGGCCGCAATTTAGGAAA